ATTTAACACTCTCTAGATTACCTCAACTCTGTTCGTTTTGACTGTGCTGTGTCACATTATTTACCACTCTCTAGATTACCTCGACACTTTACCGTTTGACTGTGCTGTGTCACATTATTTAACACTCTCTAGATTACCTCAACTCTGTTCGTTTTGACTGTGCTGTGTCACATTATTTACCACTCTCTAGATTACCTCGACACTTTACCGTTTGACTGTGCTGTGTCACATTATTTAACACTCTCTAGATTACCTCAACTCTGTTCGTTTTGACTGTGCTGTGTCACATGTAATCTACCACTCTCTAGATTACCTCAAGTCTGTACCTTTTTCTTGGATTTCTAATCACGATGAATCAATCTATGTTGTCCAGTGAACTTATCTGATTATTGTTCACGGGTCTCTAGCTTGTACACTTGGAAGCAAACTGATCTGAAGTAACAGGTTAAGATTATTTAAATGAACATCTGTTAAAATTTATAATTATGAAGTGGTTCTACTTTCAAGTGCCACTTCTGGATATTTGAGATATGGTGTAACATGAATACTACTTAAAAACAAATGTCTGTTAGTAATATGTTTTCAGCAGCATACAATTCTAAGGAAAAGCATCGTGCCTGTGACTTATTTTTTCAATTGATAAAAATATTATGGTGCTTCATTTACTGTGTGCTGTTTTTTTCTATTACAGCACATTTGTTTTTCAATTTTATGTTGTGTTGTATTTGCATAGACAAAAGAGTGGCATGTAATAGTCCTTAAGTTAATTTTGTCACTGTTATTAACTTTTTTGTTTTACTTTTTCTGAACATTTTATCTCTATAAAGTACACATTGAGATTTCATAAATAAGCAAGTTTTTAATTTTTCTTTTTCATTTCAAACGTATTTCATCAAATTTGTACAGAGTTTAGAAACCACTGAAATAATGATTTTTAACTAAATTATAAGAACTTAGAAGTGAAAGTATAGAATAATATTATAACGTCAACCACACTATATCTGCTATAACCAGTGCTGATGAGATTAGAAAACCATTTTTTGTTTTTTCCACATAAGCAATATTAGTCTTTACTAATTGGAACTTGCTGCTTACAGTAGTGATTTCTAAACTGTGTCACGATGCCCTAGTGTGTCACAGCAAGTTGCTTGGGGTGTTGCAAGAGTTTCAAACAAACGAAGAATGATTAAGAAGATAAAAAATATTGAATGTGGAACTAAGAGTGTCATGCAAATCAAGGTAAATGGTTTAGGGTGTTGTCAGGGGAAAAGGTTTGGAAACTTCTGACTTACAGTATGTGTGCTTGGCTCTTTTTTACAATACAAACATATCAGATACTTCCTCTTTCTTATATAATATTTTTTTCATTTAAAGAATCTATTTCACTAACCAGTATTTGAGAATTGTTTCTAAACTTGGTAGCCAAAAGATGTGAAAGGAGATTTTTCACCTAATTTCCAGGATTCATCATTCCTGGATATCAAGGCTCAGTTGGATGAACCCTTTCTCCATACCAATTGGTATTTTACAAACATTTCAAATACATATAACTATAATTTCTATAAAAAGTCTTACTTCCTTATGGGGTTAGACTTTTGGGACACCTTATAGTTTGTGATAAAACTTGCTGATATTTTCAATGTTGTTATTGCAAAGAATAAGTTATCCTATCTATAATTACAGGTTTACTTTATCACCAGCAAGAAAACATATTAGTGTCATTGTTTACAAAATAAACAAGCATACCGACAAACACGGCCATTACAGCGAGTTTAAATTATATAGGTTAACAGTTCGTCTTTAGTAACTAACAGATTGTAACTATAACATAAACACAAGTAGGTGATGGTAAAAAGAACTTCCTCAAGATGATAATAAAAGATAGGGAAACACTGAACAATCAGTTCTAAAGTTGTTCTGACACTGATCTTATTAATCAGTTAGAAATTTAAATACCAGCTTGTTCAGAATTCTAAAACAATACATAACAAAAGAGCATTATGTACAATATATTTGTGAAATGATGGGATTGTTACTCATCTAGATTAGGTATGGTATTTGCTGTTTTTATATACTCATCAACTACAAAGGTTTTTATATATTTTTAAAAGGACTTATTTTATTATTTACTATTAGTATTGTCTACAGATAAGAGTGTTAAAATACAAGTACCATACAGATGTAAGAAACAAAATTTATCTCTGATTCTTATTGCTCTAATGGGTTTGTCTCCACAGTTCCAGATCCTTCTAATACTGGAACCTCTGAAGTTCTGACCGGACCATCACAAGTTGGTAATCCAAATTCTCAGCCCAATACTCCTGATGTCCTTGAAACCTCCACCTCAACAGTAAGTGTCAGATATGCATCTCCTGTTAAGTAGAATAACTAGTCTTAGGTATATCATGGTATGCACGTGTGTATAGGTTTTCTTTTAAGTATTCATTCACACACACTAAATAAGATGCTCTTACAGTCTTTCATGTAACAGAAACTAATCTGTGTGTTTTAGGAGTCAAATTTGTACAAGTTTCATGGTTTTTCATACGAGTTAAACATGACAATATGCTAAAAAAGCAACATTATTATAAAGGTGGCTGATCGAGTCAAGTAACTACTTTGTCATAAATTTAGCTGTAAAGGTTGATTGTTGAGTGAAGTAACTACCTCGTCATAAAGTTAGCCTTAAAGGTTGCTTGTTGAGTGAAGTAACTACCTTGTCATAAAGTTAGCCATAGAGATTACTTGTTGAGTGAATTAACTACCTCGTCATAAAGTTAGCTGTAAAGGTTGCCTGTTGAGTGAATTAACTACCTCATCACAAAGTTAGCTGTAAAGGTTGCCTGTTGAGTGAATTAACTACCTCATCACAAAGTTAGCTGTAAAGGTTGCCTGTTGAGAGAAGTAACTACCTCATCACAAAGTTAGCTGTAAAAGTTGCTTGTTGAGTGAAGTTACTACCTTATCAGAAAGTTAGCTGTAGAGGTTGCTTGTTCAGTGAAGTAACTACCTTGTCACAAAGTTAGCTGTAAAGGTTGCTTGTTGAGTGAAGTAACTACCTCGTCATAAAGTTAGCCTTAAAGGTTGCTTGTTGAGTGAAGTAACTACCTCGTCATAAAGTTAGCCTTAAAGGTTGCTTGTTGAGTGAAGTAACTACCTTGTCATAAAGTTAGCCATAGAGGTTACTTGTTGAGTGAATTAACTACCTCGTCATAAAGTTAGCCATAGAGGTTACTTGTTGAGTGAATTAACTACCTCGTCATAAAGTTAGCTGTAAAGGTTGCCTGTTGAGTGAATTAACTACCTCATCACAAAGTTAGCTGTAAAGGTTGCCTGTTGAGAGAAGTAACTACCTCGTCATAAAGTTAGCTGTAAAGGTTGCCTGTTGAGAGAAGTAACTACCTCATCACAAAGTTAGCTGTAAAGGTTGCCTGTTGAGAGAAGTAACTACCTCATCACAAAGTTAGCTGTAAAGGTTGCCTGTTGAGTGAATTAACTACCTCATCACAAAGTTAGCTGTAAAGGTTGCCTGTTGAGAGAAGTAACTACCTCATCACAAAGTTAGCTGTAAAGATTGCTTGTTGAGTGAAGTAACTACCTCGTCATAAAGTTAGCTGTTAAGATTGCTTGTTGAGTAAAAGTACTACCTTGTCATAAAGCTTTTTGTTAAGATTGCTTGTTGAGTGAAGTAACAACCTTGTCATAAAGATAGCTGTAAATGCTACTTGTTGAGTGAAGTTACAACCTTGTCATAAAGTTAGCCATAAAGGTTACTTGTTGAGTGCAGTAACTACCTCATCACAAAGTTATCCATAAAGGTTGCTTGTTGAGTGAAGTAACTACCTTGTCACAAAGTTAGCTGTAAAGGTTGCTTGTTGAGTGAACGTACTACCTTGTCATAAAGTTAGCCATAAAGGTTGCTTGTTGAGTGAATTAACTACCTTGTCACAAAGTTAGCCATAAAGGTTGCTTGTTGAGTGAATTAATTACCTTGTCATAAAGTTAGCCTTAAAGGTTGCTTGTTGAGTGAATTAACTACCTTGTCATAAAGTTAGCCATAGAGGTTACTTGTTGAGTGAATTAACTACCTCGTCACAAAGTTAGCTGTAAAGGTTGCCTGTTGAGAGAAGTAACTACCTGGTCACAAAGTTAGCCATAAAGGTTGTTTGTTGAGTGAAGTAACTACCTCATCACAAAGTTAGCTGTAAAGGTTGCTTGTTGAGTGAAGTAACTACCTCGTCATAAAGTTAGCCTTAAAGGTTGCTTGTTGAGTGAAGTAACTACCTCTCACAAAGTTAGCTGTAAAGGTTGCCTGTTGAGTAAAGTAACTACCTTGTCATAAAGTTAGCTGTAAAGGTTGCCTGTTGAGTAAAGTAACTACCTTGTCATAAAGTTAGCTGTAAAGGTTGCCTGTTGAGTAAAGTAACTACCTTGTCATAAAGTTAGCTGTAAAGGTTGCCTGTTGAGTAAAGTAACTACCTTGTCATAAATTTAGCTGTAAATGCTGCTTGTTGAGTGAAGTAACTACCTTGTCATAAAGGTTGCTTGTTGAGTGAAGTTAACTACCTTGTCATAAAGTTAATTGCAGAGGTTGAATTTCATATTAAGTAATAATTTTACTATGAAGCTAGTTATGTGTGTATATTGGTAACAAACCAAAATATCAGTTAAGTGTTGTAAATATTTGGAACAAGTAGTAATTGGTTACTGTTGCTTACAAAATATAATTGCTTTTTATAACTGTCCTAAAATGACAATTGTGTGGTATAATCATTCTTGTTATGATCTTTATTTCAAGTTTTTGTTATACAAAGTAGTATTTTAGTATTAAAAATATGAATAGAACCTGAAATGATATCTCTGTTACGTTAGATTAATAAAAACTCTAGGCACACTTACTTTTAGGCATTTTAAACTGTTGGGAAGAATAGAAACAATTGTTTCTTCGCACCTTAGAATTAATGCGAGTTACCTTAAATGTTTCCTATAGATGGAGCCACAAGGACCATTGATGTTTGATCCAGCCGAGTTCACAGCAAGTAGGACATCATATCAACCAGGGTCAATAGGTCGACTATCGCGCAGACCATACCCTTCCTAAAGATAATTTATACATAGTTTTTGTAGTCTTTTTTTCCTTTTCCCCTTCTTCTTTTTATGTTTCTATTAATGAACTTCCTGGATCTTCAGTGATACTCAATTTTCCAAGAGGTGGTTTAGATGTGTACATCTGATGTATATACTGAATGATCTACCTGTCTTCAGAGTGTTATTTACAGTATTGATTTGTTCAGTTTTCACTAGACTTATAAGTGGTAATCGAGTGTGAATCTTCTCAAGCGTGTAAAAAAAATAATAATTATGGTTCGTTCTTCGCAAAAAATTTGGTTTTTAGCTCATCGACCGGTTGATCCTAAAAACCATCATTTGAAGATCTACCCAACAAGAAAATTTACCATTATAGTGGAAGACTTGTTTTTATTGCTTTGAAGCAGTATGTGGTGGGTTGACTGAGAAACACGTGTGGAGTGAAACAAAACATTTTCCTGGTAATCAAACAATTAGTGTTATTAGAATATTTGGTAGTTTTTAAGTTATGAATGGCTTATACAGTATGTGATATGATGGGGAATTGTATTAGGCTAAAATGTGAATGAAGTTCTATTTGGGATTGTGTAAAGAAAAGAAAAGAAAAATTACCCCTAATGATGAGTAGTCCGGAATACTTTAAGGTGATCGTTTTTGTGAATAATTTGGTTAAAAATACTTACTTTAATCAATATTGCGTTTATAAAGAGAATATATTATCAAGCTCTGGTTTGGGGAATGAAAATAAAGACGTATATATATATATAATTCTTTTTGTATGTGTGTACAGCTGAAAGTGTCTTATCATTAGCAAGATGTTTTTCTCCTTATTAACGTCTCAGACATATGAAGCATAGCACACAAAAAATGTAAAAATAAGCAATCATGAAACTAATGATAATATGCTAATGTAGAAAAATGGGTAAATATACAGATTTCTACACAGAAATAAATCGTAAAAAAACGAGTGATTATGGGTCAACTACATGGGAAACACAGGATTTACTCGAACACAAAATCACTATGAAAACACGTCTGAGTTTGGACAAATTATTCTACAAAATGGCTACCTGAATACATACATAACAAACGTTTTTAATGACTGGATTTACAAAACAAGTTAGGAAACACGCATAACAGATAATAGGAATAACAAAACTATAAGATACAAGAATTGTTCTGATACATGGGTGATCTGTATATCAGCAATGAACTGACAAAGTAAGTACGTAAAGCTATTAAAATGTCGGGAGTCTAACAGCTTCTTCACAATCACTTTCATAGAAACCAGTGATTTTGCAACAGCTTCTTCACGATCCACTTTCATAGAAATCAACAGTGATTTTACAACAGCTTCTTCACGATCCACTTTCATAGAAATCAACAGTGATTTTACAACAGCTTCTTCACGATCCACTTTCATAGAAATCAACAGTGATTTTACAACAGCTTCTTCACGATCCACTTTCATAGAAACCAACAGTGATTTTACAACAGCTTCTTCACGATCTACTTTCATAGAATCCAACAGTGATTTTACAACAGCTTCTTCACGGGCTACTTTCATAGAAACCAACAGTGATTTTACAACAGCTTCTTCACGATCCACTTTCATAGAAATCAACAGTGATTTTACAACAGCTTCTTCACGATCCACTTTCATGTCCAATACACAGTGCAACAAAGGCACTGTTTTATTAACTCGTCAAATATGAGAGGAAACTGTTTAACAAAGGATATCATATACTAACTAGAATGCGTGGAATATAAGGCCGTCTACATTGGAGAAACTGGGAGACCCTTATATGAACGTACCAATAAATATTTTCGGGAAATAGACAAAACAGACATGGAAAAAGTGCATTGGCTGAAAATATATCTTGAATTATGGTATACCAAAGATGGATTGATCAGTAACATTTAAAATTATCACAAGAGTAAGGAATCTTTTTTTATAGAAAAATATAAACGAACAATGAACAAATATAATGGATGGTTCCTCTCTTAAGTTTAATTAAGTTTCGTCTGTATAATAACTTAAATATTGTTTACTCTGTTTGCATAATTGTATTAAACTTTCACGTTTAGGATTTCTTTTTACTATGTTAGATAGTTCGTATTTTACTAATAACGTTATATTGTTTGCGTACGGATCGCGGGCTTTGTAATAGTAATGGTCACGTGATACTCTTGTAGCGTGGTTTAATTCTTATAATACAACTATCTTAATTTGAGTAATAGATTTCATTACAGAAATTTCATGTTCATGAGGAAGGCCAAAACGACAAGCAAATAAAACAACTTGTAAGTTGCTCTGGAGTTCGTGATAGTTTTATTTATTCTTAATTGTGTACTTTCCTTCAATCAGCATTACGTAAATTAAAATATCTAAAAATAATATAGTCCCTTCTTAACTTCTGTTACATAAATCCCTTTGAGTGAACGTATAATGTTTGATATAAAGTAAATGATTCTTGAAAATCTGTTGCCTGTGCTTCACCGTCATATCTTGTTATCCTGGTACTAACTTTTCGCTTCCTTTGCGTTTCTTCTTTGTAAACTGATGTCTCAGCCTTTGCAATGCCTTCTTGCTCAAAGTCCTCAAATGAGTCATTGGTCCTGAGGTCTGAGATATAGGGCTCCAAAGACAGCAAAAGTCTCGCGCCTTCGTTAAGATCTGTTTCTGTGTTTTGTAAATTCAAGCTGGTTTTGTGGAATCGCTCCAAAATTGTTGCCCAAACGCTGAGAAGTATTCCATACTCCAGAGATTACATTTTGCTTACAAGACCTCTGGCTTCTTGTCGCGTGTTGGACTTTTCATCTGGATTGTCAGCAATGCTTTCCAATGCTGATTTTACTTTCTCGTATCCCTGATCTAGGGTGGCAGTAGCACTGGCGTGAGCAGACCACCGGGTATCACTAAGTCTCTTCACAACTGCAAGATTCTTTCCAAACTCACCCACAAGTATTTCCCACCAGTGGGTAGAAGCACTGAAGAAATTGTACAACTGTCCAACAAAATCAAAAAAGGCAGTAGCTTTCGGAACACAATCCACTGCTGAATGGCCGACAAGGTTCAACAAGTGAGCAAAGCAAGGAATGTAGTCAGCTACTTGATTTCTCTCACGTATTTTACCTTGAAGACTATTATACTTGCCACTCATGTTGAAGGTGTTGTCGTATGATTGACTTCTGCAGTTCTCTAAGTCTATTTTTTTTCTGTTTCTAAAAACATCAGAATACTCTCGGCAAGTTGTTCACCACTGTGACCTCTGCAATCGAGAAATTTGACGAATCTTTCAATAGGACCACTCTCACACACATATCGAAAAATGAGGACAGCCGATCCACGTGTGAAATATCAGGGGTTGAATCCACAGATATTGAAAAATATTTGGCTTCTTTGAGTTCCGAAATAATTTTCTCTAACATCTTTTGTCCAAGCATTTCAATCAGCTCATCGCATACTGTGGATGAAAGGTAGGACACAGAGCTTTTACCCTTATTTCCATTCTTTTCAATATGAGTTGCCAAAAAAAAGATCGATTTGCGCTAGCAATTCTAGTGTCCCTAGAAAATTGCCATAGTTTGGTTATCCGATACACTCGTTGTGTCCCCTAAAGGCTAGTCCCCGCTCAGCAAGAAATTTAATTGTAGCAACAACCCTTTCCAGAAGTGCTTTCATGTAATCACGTTCTGACTGGTATTGTCGAGTGATCAAGCTGTTTACACATCCAATACCTCGAGACTTTGTAGTGAGGGTAATGGTCGCATCCTGATGACCTTGGTTGTTTTCATGACTTTCTAATCTTTAACTTGCATTTTTCCAGTCAGAGAAGCCATGCTTCGAAAAAGCATGGTCTTCACTTGAATTTGAAAACAGTTTGCAGTTAAAACAGAATGCCTTACCTGTGCTTGGAGAATAACACAGCCAACTTCTCCTGATTTTTTCGCCATTTGTAATGGAGCGGTAAAACATGGACTTACTAAAGTAACGTTTCTGTTTACCGTCATATTTTATAGATTTCACAATACTGGCATTCATGTTCCAACAGGCTTCGCTCCCTGTCTTTAACCAGTATACGCGCATGTCTTCTGTAATTTTGTCAGGCCACATGCCCAAATCACTCCCCATCGACTTCGACGACTTGTCTGCGATTTCTCCATCATCGGATCCGGAATAAACTTCACGTTGCGATTTTTCGCCTACTTTTCAGCGTCCACATCATCAGGTACTGCTTCTTTTGCTGGTTTAAAAAATTTGTCAAGATTGGATGTATTCTTTTGTAGACTCTGTTGTTCTCTTTCCTTTTTTGTGCTCCACTTTTATGTTTGTATTCCCTAGTAGCCATTTTGCAGAAGAAAAACTGCCAACAATACAAAATACTAGTATGAACAGAGAGCTTTAGGTTCACGTTTTCATTAACACCAACTCGTGACGTAATAACGTCGTCATGGTAAACACAATCTCGCGGTTGCAGTATGAAGTCCTAAAAGCATTACTT